GTACTTGTCCTCAGGTCCCCATATCACTCTCTGCGTGTCTTTTTTTTAGCACTTAGTCACAATGTATTCTAATATCCTACTGGATTCTCCCCCACTTGACATTGTCTGATTCATTCATCTTTGTATCCCTAGCACTTAGCACAGTGCTTGGCATGTAGTAGATTACACACCAAACATTGTTGAACTGCATTAAGAAATCTGTAAAGTGGCTGGGCGTGGTGGCTCATGTTTGTAATTCCAAGCAACTTGGAAGGCTGAGGCAGGGGAAACGAAAACTTGAGGCCAGCCTCAGCAATTTAGCAAGACCCTCAGCAACTTAGTGAGCAATCCTGTCTTAAAATAGAAATTAAAAAGGGTTGGGGACATAGCTTAGAGGTAAAGCACCCCTGGGTCAAATCCAATTTGGGCCCCCAAAAAAGAAAAAAGAAAGAAATCTATAATATGACTTATTGCTGACTGATCTTGTCTAAACAGAGTAAAATTCTATTATATAAAAACTATTATAAAATTATTTTGTGTACTTTCCCCTACCATATTCGCTGGTAATCTACTGCTGTAAATACTACTGGGGTAAGGGGGTGGTAATGGAGGAAATACAGGAACAATTGGGATTGATAGGAGTGGGAGCTACCTTACACCCAATTATAACCATCTTTCCAGCCTCAGCCCCATTCCTGTCATAAAAATATAGGTCACAAGTTCTGAAGAACATATATATATACCAATATACAAATATTAGGCCATATACAAGCTTCTGAGGTGGGGACATCAAGTAAAACAAAACTTTTTGGGGGATGGGTACTAGGGATTAAACTCAGGGGTGCCTTACCACTAGATTATATCCTCAGGCTTTTTTATTTTTTGAGACAGGGTCTTGTTAAATTGCCTAGGCTGCTTTTAAACTTTCGATCCTTCTGCTTCAGCCTCTCATATAGCTGAGATTATAGGTGTGGCAAGCAAGACAAAATTTTTTTCTTTCAATATTTTTATAGTTATCAATAGACCTTTACTTTATTTACTTATATGCAGTGCTGAGAATTAAACCCAGGGCCTCACACATGCTAGGCAAGTGCTCTACGACTAAACTACAACCCCGGCCCAAGAAAGACAAATTTTAAGGCTCCTTTCAACTTTGAGATTCTGCGAGGATAAAGTTACTAACACAGAACCATTCTCATTCTGATACCAGAATAGGAAGTGGAGACTGCATGTGGATACCAGAATAGGTGTGGAGTGAGCCAAAGGTGGAGGGAAGCGGGGAGAGCAGAGGGGAAAGCAATGAAGTGGGACTCCTGATGCTTGTAATTTTTACCTGGCATCCAGCGTTAACTCCATCTCCACCAGCACACATCATGGTGGTCTTCACAGCGGAACCCCAGTAGGAAGGGTGAGAGCAGGTGGCATGGTCCACGGTGGGCATGGGCGCCTGATGAAGGGTCTGGGCTAGCTGTCCTTCGGCTAAACAGGGCATACAACACTGGAAGTCAGCCCCTGATGCTGATTAGGGAAAAATCCTTCCATACCCTGCTAAACTGTCCCAAGCTTTGGTGTACCATGGAGTCAGGGTGAGCTCCTTCTCTCTGCTTGTCATAGGTCATGAATCCTCTACTCTTTTCTCTCATGTGCTAGGCAAGGGCTCTACCACTGAGCAATACCCCAGCCCTTTTAATTTTATTTTGGGACAGTGTCTTGCTAAGTTGCCCAGGCTGGCCTCTCTCCTCCTTATATGGCAGCTACTGGCTTCTTCCTTTGGGGAGGTATCCTTGCTTATTGTTCCCAGTTTCTAAACCAAGAATCCTATTCCTGCTTTCTATCACTCATGGATAACTGTGTTAAGGAATTAGAAAGGCCTTATTTGTGGACAACTCATCTGTCTGTCCTACTCCTTACAATACAAGTAGAACAGTGATCACGCACACCTGTTTTTATTTCTTAAGAGCCTGGTACAGCTTTTTTTACTTGACTCTTGTGGCTTTTCAAAGTCTTCAAGAAAGACAAATTTTAAGGCTCCTTTCAACTTTGAGATTCTGTGAGGATAAAGTTACTAACACAGAACCATTCTCATTCTGATGCCATGTGCTATTTCTTTGGATCATTGCAACAATGCTTAATGTTATGGATCAAGAAATTGAACCACAGTGACATTCAGTGAACTGACAGGAGGGCAGAGTTGGATTAGAAGCATGTCTCTTTCAGCTCTAGGTTTTCCCAATGGACTGGCTGGTCACAGCATGACTTGCCTGTCCTTCAGTAAAGAAAGTATCACCTTGTGGCTGACAGTCTTTTGCATCAAGATTAATGTTCCTTCCTGTTTCTCTTCATAGCCTTCCTACCTTTCCATATTTTCTGAATAATATTCCCTACTTGAAATCTTCTCATAATGATCAGAAGAGGGCTGAGACTTCCTCTGCCCTGACTCATGAGGATCTATAGCTACTCCTGGTTCATTTACTCCCACTCAGCCCAGTTCCTGTCTATGGAGGTAGCATGATGGTAAAATTACCAATAAAGTGAGACCCAGGATGCCTGGCTTCTGAATCCAGATTTGTACTAATAGTCATGTGATTAAGGTCCTTAATTTCATTGGGCCTTAGTTTCTTCGTGTAAGAAGTCTTATCTATCTAT